GTGTAGAATACTTTAAAATGGTTTTATTTTAAATTATTGTGTGTAGAATACTTTAAAATGGTTTTATTTTAAATTATTGTTGATAGAATCTTTTTTTAAATTTTCAGACTATTTTAAAAAAAAATCTATCAACAATAAATTAAAATAAACCATTTAAAAATATTCTATCCACAATACTTTTAAGCATATAGAATATTTTTAAATCATTTTATTTAAAAGTATTTGAGTATAGAATATTTTTAAATGGTTTATTTTAATTTATTGTTGATAGAATTTTTTTTTAAATAGTCTGAAAATTTAAAAAAAGATTCTATCAACAATAATTTAAAATAAAACCATTTTAAAGTATTCCACACACAATAATTTAAAATAAAACCATTTTAAAGTATTCCACATGCAATAATTTAAAATAAAACCATTTTAAAGTATTCCACATGCAATAATTTAAAATAAAACCAGTTAAAAGTATTCCACACACAATAAAGTAGGGAGCTGGCTTACACTAGCCTCCTGCCACCGCCGCCCACCATCTTTTGGCAGTGGGCTTGCATATGTTAGCTTCCCCCCACCTCTGCCATGCCCCTTTTGGCCATGAGCTGATGTACGCTAGCCTCCCGCCACCACTGCCCACCCCCTTTCAGCCACGTGGCATATGCCAGCCTTACCTCATGAAAGTCATGAAGGCCTTACCTCACGAAAGCCATGAGCTGGCATATGCTAGCCTTCCACCGCCATTGCCTACCCTCTTTCAGCCATGGGCTGGCATACACTAGCTTCCTACCGCCATGCTTCTTTTGGCTGTGAGCTGGCGTATGCTCCTGCCCGCTACCCCTTTTGGCTATGCAGCATACGCCAGCCCGTGGCTTTCGCAAGGGAAGGTCTGAAGGCCTCCCACCACCGCTGCCCCCCTCACGCTTAGTTGCTTACCTGAGGGAAGCAGCAGACTGCTGGAAGGTGAAGTGAAGCGAAGAGATAGGAGGACCTGATCAACAAGTGCGATGCAACAGCTGCTCGGGATGTTGGCCACACTTTTAAACGGATGTTAGAGGCTGACGGGTCGACTCCAGCCTGCTCACTGATTGGCTGGACTCCATCCAATCAGTGAGCGGCAGGCTGGGCTAGTTTAGTGCAGACGGGTGGGGAGTGAGCGAGCTGAGACAGAACGGGCAGGGTGAGCGAGCGACAGGGCAGGGGCAGGCATTCCAGAACTTACTTCCAGGTCCACCGGTGGAACCTCTTCTAACTGGTACGGTAGATTTGATGAACCTCTTCTACCGAACCAGTTAGAACCAGCAGGAACCCACCTCTGATACATACATACATACATACATTTATTTTCATGATTTCTACTTTCCTTCACTAAACATTAGTCCCTAGCATATATTTATCTGTTTGCTTATGCAAACCAGACAGAGAGACAAAATAACTTATGGAATAAATGTATTTGCATGAGTAAATGATGTTGGTACTCCTCAGAGGAAAGGCCTAATGAACTTACTTCAAATGTCTCTTCTAATTTATTCTGTAGTGTGAATGAGAGCCATTATGTCTAAAACCAGTCACGGAAGACAATCCAGGATAATTGCTAGAGTTCTGGACCTTGATTCAGATCTCTTTTCAAAGCTTCACTGCTAATCTGCAATATTATGATCACTTCCCTATTAAATTCAGTGGAATTTACTTCTTTGTAGGGATGCACAGCTGCGTTGTTAGTTCTCATACTTTAGAAAGAGGAAAGGCAGCTTGTATCTCAACAGGAGCCAAGGGATTTTGTCAGTGAAATGGTTAGGGTAAAATGGTTTGTAGAAGTGGTCAGCTACATTTAAGGAATGGTTTGACTCATTTTTATACATAACTTGCTATTTATGAAGATTGTATTGTAAACCTTAAAATGCAAAGTAAATTATATATAGACTGCTAATTGGTACGCATATTAACACATTATTATTTTTTCACTTAAAGTAATAAAAATAGTGTTCATGCTTATTAACAGCTAAGATTATTGATCCACAGAGGTTATAGCTGAATCATTTTCTTCCTACGGTGTCTCATTCAAGTCTGCATCAATTGTCTTTTCTTATCATTAGGAAAAGAGTACTGAAAACTCAGAGGAAACTCAATTACAAATTTTAAAAGATAATTGTGCTTTGGTCTCCCTACTTGCAGTTCCTAGAAGATAGATTTTATGTGCTGCAATTTAAAAGCAGAATGGTATCATTGTTGTATTAGCTAGAAACAAGTAGAAATGAGTAATTCTCATGAAACTAAGTATATAAATGGGATACGCAAAATAACTGTGCTCTTAAAGAAGTGATATAAGCTGAAGTTATTTACCTGCAAAAGAAACAAATGTGAAAAGATAGTGATTTCCATTCCTCTAGAATACTACTCCAATAGTTCTTGTTGTTTTTATCATATCAGTCATAATAATGACACAGTAAGATAGATCTGTTGGTAATATGTTCTGTTAGAAGTTGGCTTGTCATTGGCATACTTTTCTGCCACTGTTAAAGACTCCCTTGCTAATTGTTGTATAATTGGAACACATCACATATCCCCCCAAAAAGGTATTTTTTTGTTTACTTAATCGCATTGTGGTAGTCAAGTTTCCTGTACAATTATATTAATGGAAAATTAGATACCATAATGTATGGTGTTCTTCAGGGCACACTTATAACAAAAATCTGATTTTTATGTCTTGATTTCAGAAATCTTTATTTTCTCTCCAATGGATGCTAATGTCTGTCTGTCTGTCCTTCTGTCCGTCTTCTTGCTCACTGTCATTCTACATCCATCTATCCATCCATCCATCCATCCATCCATAACATCTATCTATCTATCTATCTATCTATCTATCTATCTATC